AAATAAAATCTCATGTAAGACTAGGATATTGCAGTACATTTCATGTTATACTAGCTATTTTCCAATAAAAAAGGTATTCATATATCTTCTATATAAAGCTTACTATGCCCAGGTAAAGTAAAATCTTGAATCACAAATGTATAAATGACTTTAAATAATGTGAATCACACAAAGAAAGCAAACCTCACACCAAACACAAATTGTGTACTTTTGCATGTTTTAAAGAGTACTAAAATGAAATATGGCCAGTGGGACAACCATAGAGCAATCCTTACCTGCATAGAACTCTGGACTATAAACTGCACCAACAACTGGATTTAATTTCCAGCCTGCAGCAAACAGAAACATAACAGTTAATATTGCAATTAGTGATAATAATAACAACTATTATTATGACTATAACTACTGTTGTATAGAAAATACAGACAAAATTACTTCAAGAAAGGTCACTGTCATTCAAGTTTCATAGTTATCTTTAATATCAGAGTCTGAGGTATGGAAATAAGTCATGAATCAAGGCATTCACCAGACATGTGGCATTCACTGGAGTGAATGTCCAGGTGAATTACCTTGGCTGAAATGCACATGGGTTTACTCCCCCAAGCTCTGGAATGGAGCCAGCACTATTTCAGGTATCCCCATAGCCTCTAGTACAGGGCAGATGATTCTCAGCCACTGTTTTGGCTCTGGTTATGAGCCAGAGGAGCCAGGGCAGTTCATTCCCTGGACACAAACATTTCTGATGAGCCTTTGCTAGCAAGGGTTACAGGGCAACCAAATAATGGGAGCATTTTGATTCTACCCTGGCAAAAGGAAAGCAAAGGCACAGCATGGCAATGTCTGTAGGAAGGAGATGCTCGGTGGGGTCCAGTGGTACAAATCAGCCACTGCCCTGCTCTTCAATAATCACTGTCCTCCCAGCCCTGCACAGAACCCCAGCACAGAACTCACAGATCTGCTCTACCTGTGTCTGGCCAAACTCCAAATTACTGCTTGCACTTTACACCTGCTGCAGCATCCCCAGGCTGGCTGCAGACCCAGGGCTGTGCAAAGCATGGGGATGTTATCTTAATAAAGATAACCAAGCTGGAGGGACAGGAGGGGCAAGAGAAAGCAAAATAAAGTGCTGCAAACTCGTTAGTGTTCCCAGCTGTGGTGCAGTGCCAATTACTGCTGTGTGCTCAGCCACAGGTAGATCCACTCCCAGCTAACTGCAAACTCCACAGAACATCCCCCCAGCCACACTCTCTTCTTCCTTCAGTGAACAATTATTTTGAACCACTGGAACTGAAAAATTAGGGGTTTTCCTAAAGCACACTCAAATCAGAGGAGTGGGAAGCGCTTCTTGTAAATGGGAACAAAGAAAAAAAACCCTGAGCAAAAGCATGTTGTAGACTCCAGAGCTATGGTACTTAAAATAGAACTTATAACTGCTACTGGAATCAAAGCACAATCCAGACACTTTCCAAAATCACAAAAGCCACAATTAGAAGAATTTAAATGCACCCAAGGTTTATTTCTGCCTTGGCTATATCGTGTAATGCAAAAGGACTGTGGAAAATCATTAAACATCAAGGCATAATACTAAAAAAGTACAATGCAAAAAAATGTCAATAACAAACTATTGCCACCCTTTCAAGCTACCTCCATCTCGTGCATAGTAATTATTTGCCAGTAATTAACTGTTCAGTAAGACAGGGGAGGGGTGGTTTTGAAAGGTAACTCATGAGTAAGTTCAGAGTAAGCAGCTTTGCATGACACCTTCCTGTAGAAGTGACTGCAGTTGTTCCATGTAGTCAAAAGACAGTTAAGGAAGCTGGAAAATGTCCAGCCTAGGAGGGCTAAAAGGTTTTTCCGCCTAAAAATACCACAGGAGTTTTACCTGATCATTGAATTTCACATTACACAGGATTATATTTAGGAACATCAGAGCATAACATATCTCTTAGCCAAATTTTGTGTGATAGAAAATCATTCAAATTTTGAGACTTTGGGTAAAAATCTAACTTTACATATGTTAGAGAACATCCAATATTTCAAATGAAATGCTTCCTCAGAAGACCACTGATCAAAACCATCCAAAATGAAAGATTGGACAGAACTTTAGATCTGTCAGCTTTTGCTGTCAAAGCAGCTGACAGACATCTCTCAGCTTCTAAGTTACACTAACAGTGCCACAATTTGTCTGAGAGAAAGAAAAAAAAATCATCTTGGAAGACACAGATTGTTCTTCACAGCTGAAAGGCAGTCTCATATTTCAGCTCCTTACCACTCTCCCAGTGATGGCTGTCTCATCTAACTTTTTGAAGCCTTTGGAGGAAATACTTCATTCATGGTGAAAATAACAGTAATTAAACTTAACTTTATCTTGTCAGCCAACAATGTGCTGGCCCATAGCTGTGTGGGTTAATCAAGTGTGATGGGAGTTGATGTATCTGAGAGAGCAGCTGCCAAGTAACCCTTCTGCAGCAGCTGGAGGAGGCAAATTCTCGGCTGTGGGTGTAATTTTGTGCATTTTTCTTACTGTCACAATATTAATCTCCTCCTTGCGCTGAAACTGGAAAAGCTTGAAACTTAAAAATCAGCCAAGCAAAGAAAAAACCCTCTGCCTGACCCAGCTTCCCAGTCATCCAGAGAGGCACATGGCCAGCGTGCTGAAGGGAAGGAAATGGTTCTGGGGGAACAAGCTGTGGTAGAAATGGGGTGCAGCAACACAAAAAGGATTATTTTTGCTTCATAGACTGGAGAGGCCACCATGGCCAGAGAAAGGCTTGGGTAGGAAAGAACCCTGTGACTCAATTTCCTTCCCTGCTGTTTGCTACCCAGGGAGGGGGACAGGGAGTGGGAGGGGATTTAACTGTGCTAATAGGCACTAGTTGTGATTTTGAATCTAAATTTAGAGCAACAGAAGGCTCAAATCCAAAGCACCACCAGTATAAACTTGAAAATATATTTATCCTTTTACAGAACTCTGCTTCTTGTTCCTCCTTTATTACTGCAGTTCTCTGAATGTACCTGCCCATATTTCTCTGTGTCCTACAACCCTTGGATGAGCATCCTGAATGGCAATATGAGCATCAGAAGAAAGTACAGCTGTGAACAGGATAGGTTGGAACATCTAAAAATGTCTCAAATATTTTTGCTAACATGTAGCACTCCTGACATTGAATTTCCTTGCAAAGAGAAATCAGTTGTATCTCCAAAGCATGAGGTGAGCCATCAAAATCATCCTGACTGATAACAAACCCACTGAAAAAGCTCTCCCAGCAGCTGCTCATTTGGGGAGTCAGAAGTCACTGGAAAGCATACTTATTTCAAGGACCATTTAGGACACAAAAGCACACCACTTACTTGAACAAAGCTGTACATATTTTTTAAAAAACCCAAGTTTTTGTGCCTTGAAATCTACTGACTTCTGCAATCCTATTAACAACATGAGCCCTGTTATCAAACAACCAGCTGCATTCAGGAATGAAGCACAAAACAGAGTGTATCTTGTTTTTAAATTAAAATAAATATCAGTTCCTGACGTTTTGATAGAATACAACATGTGCCCCAACTACCTTTTGAATACCTGCCAACAACATGCCAGTCACAACACACACTTTGAAAGATAAAGAGAGGCATTAAAAAATAAGTGGTTCTGAAGGAAACATAAAGGCATGTGCAAACAAAATGTTTCTGGCTACCTGCATCAGATGAAATTCTGCAAATTTTAATGTGCTGGTGGAAAAAACTGGCCTTATAGTTTATTTAAAAGATGAGCCCTTTACCTTAGACAATAATCATCTTCAATAAGTAATCAGCTCTAGCAGCGGTTAATTCCTGACAAAATGATAAAGAACTAGACTTGTACCATGCCAGGATGACTGATAGTACAACACTGATGAAACCAAATGAAGCCCCTTGCACTTCATTCCTTGTTGCTTGGGATGATTATGCAAGAGGGACGTGATTGTCCTTGTGTGTTTCCTTTAGGGGATTTCACATATTTAAAAAAATGGTAAAAAAAGATGAAAACAATCAAAAGCTATGAATTGCAAGCAGAGGTTTACAGGATATCTGGGAAAAGGTGTGCACATTGGTTGTCTGGTTCACAATAAATAAATGTTACTTATTTATGCACTGAACAGGGTATTTCATACTTTTGGTGAGATCTGGATCTGATGGAACAGGATGGAAAATGACAAACAAAACACTTCAAGTGGGAAACACTTAACAGCAGATTTTGCTCATCCCGGTCTTCGACATTAATAAATGAGAATGTGTGACCTGTCCTGTGCACTGTAGGACATAGATTTAAACTTCCTCTAAAACCACATGGCTAAAAATCTCCCATCTCTTATCACCAGCATTCCCTTCCTTCAGCACTGGCTGTGCTGATATGTAACATGTTATTTGCTCATGAACAGTTTTGTAGCCTTAGGATAATATGAATACAAAATATGCATCACCATTTACAGAAAAACTACTTTTATCATTGCAATATAGCAGGCAGAGTTCATAGCCTCATATGCACATGGTTAATTTAGCTTTGTATTACAACAAAATCTCTTTATGTGATCCAGTCAAGCCTCGTGTCTCTCTCTAGATTCACTGGGATGCTTTAAAACCAATAAAAACCAAGGAGATTTTCCCATCTGCATAATTTACCAAGCTTCACATCTATATACAAAACGAGGAAGAAAACAGCTTTTAAGAAAGCATGAGGAAATTCAGCCCCTTCTTCTCCAGATCATTTTAACTACATCAATTATCACATCACATGAAAACCATACCTGTGTTTTATTTTTACTGTGTTACAAGAAAATGATGAGCTTTAATAAAAAATAAAGCCACTGTGTGCCCTGGATTTTAGTAAAACCTCCCTAATGACACCTCAAATACAGAAAATATGATCCATTATATTTCAAAATGGAAAAGAGTCTAATCTACCTCAGGAAGCCTTTATGTGCACATTTCATCTGCTTTCCACTGTATGGGAAAAACTGAATCAAATAACAACAACTACAGAGCCTAGCAGAACTAAAAGCATAATTGCAATAAAAACTTCAGTTCATGTGCTATTGTTTGACATGACTGAGTTAGGAATTTGGTTGAATTTGAATTTTCTGAACCAGTGATGGCACACAAGCGCGTGATCCAACAATTGCAAAGGAAAAAATTTAAAAATGTATTGTTTCCAAATGCTTCAAATAACTGTTGATTCTGTTTTTATCATTAAGTTGGTGCAATGTTGTACATTAAGTCAGTATTAGAATCAATTTTATTTTTAGATAGCTTGGAATTCTTATTTCTCCATGGGAAAAGAAGAAAAGCTGGAAGCAGCACCCACTACCAGTCTCCCTTCTCCTAACAAATTGTGGAAGAAAGATATGGAAAATGCTCTCTGACCAGATGTGTGTCCTGGTACTAAAAGATTCTACAGGAAAGCCATTCTTGCTGGTCTCCCTCCCTAAACCAAGCTGAATCCTCCCATCAGTTCACTCATCCCAACATTAACACTGCACAAATCAGAGAACATCACTCTCACACCAGGTCCATGTCCTCCACAAAAGCCACTGGAGTCCAACACTAAGATTCCAGCCAGGAGGATTTAGGGTCCAACATTGGGATTCCAGCCAGAGGGATTTGGGGTCCAACACTGGGATTACAGCCAGGGGATTCAGGGTCCAACACCGGGATTCCATTCAGGGGAATTTGGCATCCAATACTGGGATTCCAGCCAAAGAGATTTGGGGTCCAACACCGGGATTTCAGTCAGGGGAATTTGGGGTCAAACACTGGGATTTTAGTCAGAGGGATTTGGGGTCCAACACTGGGATTCCAGTCAGAGGGATTTGGGGTCCTATACTGGGATTCGAGTCAGGGGGACCGGGGGGTCCAACACAGGGATTCCAGTGGGAGAGATCTGGGGTCCAACACTGGGATTCGAGTCAGGGGAATTCAGGGTCCAACACAGGGATTACATACAGCCAGAGGGATTTGTGCTCTGCCCACCAGGCTGGGAATCAGCCGAGCTCTGCAGAGGTGCCATTCCTGCCCAAGCCCATCACATCCCAGGACTCTGAGCCCCAGGAAGGCAGGAGGAGCAGAGTGGGACCCCCAAGGAGCAGTGAGTGCCCCATGGAGCAGGACTGGGGGTGGCATGCAGGGACAGTCACCCCAAGCAGGGCCCCGTGCACTTACCGTTCGTGTAAGGGTTGACGGTCTTTTTATTTGTCATTACACGTGCTGTGGCATTATTTACCTAAGCACATAGAACAGGGGATTAGAAAGGGTTACAGGCAGGGCCCGTGTCACTATTAAAGGCATGCATTATTACTGCTATTAGTCATGTGAAAATAAAATGCAATTTAATTTATAGAAGGCAACAGGTGCATAACAAAATCATACTATTTATAATTACATTTACTTTCATAACCATTTTAACTTACAAATCATTTCAATAAAGCAACATCATATCATTTAAACTTTAATAAAAAGACATTAAAAGCAAATTAAAAGGTACTGCATAATTTAAGACTTAAGAGCATGCTTGTATTCCATGATAACACTGATACAATAAATACTCAAAACAGAAGAAAAAGAAAAAGATTATATGAAGGAACATGCAGTGGAGTAGAAAGGAAAGAGACAAGGTACAAGGAAACAAAGAAAATGTCAAAAAAGGGACAAACGAATTTTAGCAGTGTGCAACATAACCCTTTAGAAGAGAAGTACCATTGGAAAAGCAACATCTAGCATTCAACACTTGGAACAAGAGCCTTTTTCATTGCAAGAATTAACAAAATCATTCAAGCTTTAAAATCACAGCTAACAAAAGGATAAAAAGAGGGTGCATTATTTAACACAATATGGAGTTAACAATCTGAGTAAGATGTGCACGAAGTCATATCCTCAATCCAATCAGTGCCTCCCAGGCTTGCTTAAAACGTACACTCAATTACAGGCGTACCAATATATAGAAAAAAATGTAGCATCAAGAAAACTTAATACAACAAGTCAAAAAAATCCACGTGGTATATCAGCGCTAAATACGTGAAACGGCAGATGGACTTCTCCACTTACCATTCAGCACCATCGCCAGCATGGGTATGTATACAGTTACCATGGTTACTGAGAGTTTGGTGAGGGCCCTAAGCGCTACCGTCGAGGGGGAAAATGAAAAGGCAAAATATGCAACATCTTACTCAAAAGACGACAGCATTTTCAATTGGTAATTCTTTCTTTTTTTTTTTTTTTTTTTTTTTTTTTTTTTGTTCTAACAAATACGACTGAGGCAGTGTTGAAGGGGATCCAGTGGCGCGGCAAACGAGGCTGGAGGTTTTTGGAGATGGGGATGGATCAGGCCAC